CGTATTTGAACCAGTTTCTAATTTTCAGTTTCTTTTTGGCCCATTTTCTGCATTAAAAAAAAAAAGAAATCAACATAAACATTTTCAATTATTTACACAAAATAATGATGAAAACTGTACCTCCTATGTCAATAAAGCCAGGGAAAGGCTATTGTTTGTATCATATTTTAGACCAGATACCGCTTTCAGTGAAACGTAGCCAGATTTGGTCTACATGAGTTGTCAACAGAGTGCTTTTCTTGCTTTACCTGGAAGGAAAGTTCAGTTTTGCTAATTTTGACCTAAGTGACAATCCTTTTCAATCAAAATGGGCCACAAACCTAAAAAACAGAAAGGGGTTCAAATACGTTTCCTCACCACTTCATCCCATTTTGTTGCTAACACGTCAGGATAAACAATACCCACTGCCCTTTCCCGAGTACCACCAAATGCAGATATATTTGAACAATAAAAACATTTTTTTTTTTTTTGCAAAAATCAAATAGATTAAGTACAAAACAGGACCACTGTTCATCACAGAAAAGTCTCGTCTTTAAAAAAACTGGGAAGAAAAGGAAACACAGTAAAAAGTCAACAAAACAAAAACACAAAATGTCCCTCTGTCATTAGTAATCCCAAGACTGGAGCTGCAAGATCAGTCGGTGCTAGAGTGTGGCGTCACTCAGCACAGAGCTGAGAAGAAGAAACCCTGTGGCTTGACCCATCTCTGGCGGTGTGGATGTAGGGAAGCTGGAATGTCAGACCGCCAGCCGGCCAGGAGGGGGATGCAGGGGACTCCAGGTTGGGGGTGCGGGTGGGGGTTCTTGGCCGTATGGGCGTGGTTCGCAGCATGGCTGGTTCTCTACTTTGGCTACGCTACGACCCTGGCACAACCGCCGATGCCGCAACAGCCGGTCTGTCCGTGAAAAGTTCTTCAAAACACACAAATTGGACATTAAGTTGAGTCTCTTTTAATAGTTATACAGACCAAGAAAACAACAACAAAGTGTCACACAGAAGTATTACATTACATTACACATTAGATTATTTTACATTGTTTACATTTGTACATACCTGCTGGCACCGTTCACACTGGTAAGGCTTCTCCCCACTATGGACACGCTTGTGTCTCTCAAGGTGGTAGCGCTGGATAAACCTCATATCACACATGTCACAAGCAAATGGCTTCTCTCCTAAAAGAGCACACAAATACACAGTCAATGCATCAATTTTAGCGTCTTGTACCAACAAAAACTGCGTGCACTTTTCCCACTTACTAATCTTTATTTACAAACTACATTTCCAACGCTTAGAACAAGTTGGAAAACAAACTGCCCTATCAGTACATTTCAACAGTTTAGTTTCAGCATCTAAAAATTGATATTCTAAAAAAAGGCCTCGTCATCAACTCATTATGTGTAGATCAGAGTGGAATTTCTTGTTTTCATGGCCCAGATCTACGCAACATAGTATCCCCAAAAACTGGGGCAAGTATTTTGAGGCTGGTTCAACATCCCATCAAATGACTTGACAATCCAAACTCGAGTTTGTTGTGACCCCGTTCTGTTGCAAGCGCTAGAGCCTTTCTCAGTAATGAGGGTACGGTAAAGGAACGCATACCCGTATGAGTGAGGCTGTGTCTCTCCAGGTGGTTACGCTGAATAAACCTCATGTCACACATGGAACAAGCATACGGCTTCACCCCTACACACACAGAGCAATATATTAGCCCTACCACCCACAAGTACAAGAAATACAACCTTCAAGCTCAAAGCTAGATCTAGGACTAAAATACTGGCAGATAATAGCTTATCATAATGTGCATTGTTTTAGAAAATATGTTGAAAAGTTCAGACATGCAGCTAAGACAATAAGTTAAACTAAATAGAATTAATTCAGATTTTAACATTATGTGGAGGTCTGATTACAAAGCAAAAAACACCAAGATCTGTCATGTGCGGTGAGATTAGCATTTAATCACTGTATTGTTTGTCTAAATAAACATCTTCAATTGTCACACATTACTATTTCAGCATCCTTTCACCTTCTATCCATTAAGTCTACATTTACACCATAAAGACAGTAAATAATTAATGGTCATCTTTAAAAGTCCCTGAGATTGAATGTGAACCTGTTATTACTGGATATTAACCTTTATCTGCTTTTAATATCACAAAGATATTTTTAGCTAAAAATACTGTAGAAAGGTAAAGATAATGTAAGACGTTCATTAATACTTAAAATACCTCAGTGCATTCGAACGCTATCAGAACTACGAAATGAGGGTAGTCCTTGTATGATTAGGTGTTTGAGACTTCTGTGTTTAAGAGTCCTTTCAGTTTGATACATAAGTGACACAGCGGTACAGACTGCTTATAGTAACATTGGATTTCTGAATCTGTTTTGATTAAATTGATATTTTTTGTGGTTTTTCAGTTACACTTACTGACTTCTGAGAGCAAAGTTCATAGCTGTTGCATTACAGTGTGCACAACAAAAGATTTAATATTTACTTTTTTATCTTTATATGAAAAATAATGACAAAATCATTTATGACAAATAATAAATATCTGCTAAATGTTGTGAAAAGGTGGCTTTTATTTTATCTTATTTTTGATTATTTTTGTACTATCACTTGCTACTAGGACTTAATTAGAAGGAGAATTCACAAGTTGAAATTCAAGGCAACATACTCAATCCTGTGCATCCACATTATAATTCTTGAATTGCCCTCCAGTATTACTGGTATATATAGTAAAACATATCTCAAAAGGCTGCTAAACAAATCAAAACAAAATAAAAAACAGAAAAGCTGCACAAACTCTAGGCTTGCTCAGCAATGAACTGGATCTAACCTAACAGACCGAGTATAAATCAAAACCAGATTAGTGGCCTTTAGGATTTCCACCAACACCATCTGGATCAAGATTGAATTAAAAGGTCAAAGGGCAGGGAGGCAGGCAGACATACGGACCCCACTCACACCTGGCATCAACATGTGATCTCAGTCTTGACTGTGCCAGCATTCGGAGCAGATCTTAATATGCAAATAACTTAGGCGGGGCTGGCAGGCTTGTCAGTAGACCTGGCGTGTCAGGATAAGGGAAGCAGTGCCATAAACAGGCATCATTCAATAACTCTTCCTGAGGGAAGGCTTGCTAGCTACTAAGGTTAGGCAACCTTTCAACTTGCTGGGTTGATTTAAAAATTAAAAATAAATGTATAACAGTGATGTCATCGTGTGCATTTAGACCTGCACATTATCTACTAACCACGTGTTCTTCCTCTAACCAGGTGATGTATCTAGATAGATTGCATTTTAATACCAGGTGTAAATGAGGTAATGGTGTCGCCGGCTTTTTAGGTATTAAGTGTGTAACACACAAGAGCTTCATGCTATCTGCCAACAATTCTGGAGGGCAAATAATTTCACCTAGTCCCAAGCATAGGTTACAAAATGTAAATAAAGAGTAAATACTAATAATTTAAATGTCTTACTAACAGCCACTAACCGGAGCCTACAAGAAACACTTATTTATTGTAACCATTCAAAGGTGTCCCTCGCATTAACAATATAAGGAGTAAATGGTGATCTATATAATGTAAGAAGGGCAGGTGCACGGACCCATACCCGTATGAGTGAGGCTGTGTCTCGCCAGGTGGTAACGCTGAACAAACCTCATGTCACACATGGTGCAAGCAAAAGGTTTCACACCTAGACGCAGAGCATCAATACATTATTTTCAGGACTTTTTCATTTCACAATCCATCAATCAGTAATGTACTTTAAACATCTATTTACAATTGATGGGTTGTTAACCACTTTTCACTGGCTATGTGAAATTCCCCTAAAAAAAGGATGCATGTGGAGTTTTTTTTCTAAATCCAATTTAGAATACATCAAACTGTTTTGATCAAATTTCAGATCCACAACTAAACACATCACATGAGCTGATGATGTCACAATGCTGTATTCATTTACACATTAAGACCTTTAATGTTGCATTTACACACATAATGCAGGATAGCCCTGATCAAGAACAATGTACAACTAGTCCCTATTACAGAATAATAATAGCTGCCTCAGACAGAAGACGCTGTATCTAATATAATGTTAAGTACAGGCTGATCTCAGTGTCAACAGTAAGGTGGGCGGACGCATACCCATATTGAGTGAGGCTGGTGTCTCGCCCCAGTGTAGCGCTTGGAAAAAACCTTCTTGTCAACAAATGGTTGCAAGCATAAGGTTTCACACTAAATGGGCAAAGTAGCAATATTATATTACTTAACCTCAATGTCCATTCGTCACAAATAAATACCTAAGCTATTGGTTATTAACCACACATTTGCCAATTCATGCACAAACAAACAGATATGTCAAATGTTTCCCTCATGTAACACTTATAGTTACCAGCAAGACAACTACACAACTGACTGTTTTAGCTGCAGCACCAATCAAAAAGAATTAGCTATTATTATTTTAAGAGTTATGACTCCTGTCAGGCAGCACTGCAATCAATACATTTATTTTTGCATCTCTCATGTTACTAGCCTGCTGACTGACGTAGGTTTTAAAATCAGGCTAATAATTAAAGTACTTTGATTTATCAGTATTCCCAAAAGAACCTTTTAGTGTGAGAACAAAATACTAACATACATTTTTAAGTAATTGAGCATTTCACTAGTAGTAATCATGCTTATTGAAGAAGGGCTGATGAAGATTGTTTTCTGAAAAGCGATATCTAAGAACTGTAGTGACCAAATATGCAGTCGTTTTAAATGCACAGGATGAGGCCTGATGTGTTCACTATTGTTGTTTTAACAGACGTTTTTAGTTAATTTTCATTAAAAAAGTGTTACATGTTCTAGAGGAAATCAATTATTATTATTGTAATTAAGTTAAGATACTTGGGAGTAAAGGTTACAGAAATGTAATGCAAATACTTCTGCACACAGCTACAAATTTGGCTATCTCAAAAATATGACATCTGTATTGTAAACTGTTTGCACTGAATACATTAGCACAATGAAGACTATGTAATAATGACCTACAAAATGTGAGAAGGGTAGGTGCACTGACGCATACCCGTATGAGTGAGGCTGTGTCTCGCCAGGTGGTAACGCTGAACAAACCTCATGTCACACATGGTACAAGCAAAAGGTTTCACACCTAGACGCAGAGCATTATGGTATTATTTTCAGACTTTTTATTTTCTTGTGTTCACAATCCATCAATAAGCAATATCCTTCAAATATCTATTCAGAATTGATGGGTTGTTAACCACTTTTTTTCAATTGTTTTGAAATTTCCCTTTTAAGACATGAATTCTTGTTTTTTTTTAGTGGTTGTTTTTCCTCCAAATCCAATAAAGAATACTAATCAAACAGTGTGAACCAATTCTCAAATCCACAACTTTAACACATCACATGAGCTGATGATGTTGCAGTCCTGTATTTCTTTACACATTAAGACTTGCATTAATGTTGCATTTACACACATGATATAGGGTAGGCTTGATCAAGAAATCATTCTACTGATCAGTTTAGGAGAGCACTGATAACTGCCTTAGATTGGCTGGCTCTGTATCTAATGAAATGTAATTACAGGCTGATCTCAGTGACATGGGTAAGGTGGGCGGACGCATACCCA